CCCTCCTCCTACTACTACTACTACTACTACTACTACTACTACTACTACTACTACTACTACTACTACTACTACTACTACTACTACTACTACTACTACCACCACTACTACTTCTACAACTACAACTACTACCATTTTTATTTCTACAACTACAACTACTACCACTACTTTTTCTACTGCAAAAGGAAGGAATAATAGAGAAAACAGCAATATTGTACCTCTCATGCTTATTTAAATGGCACCAACAGTTGAATCAAATACAACTGACATGAGTAGCGGCTAGAGCTCTTTGATATTATTGCACGTAAATTAATTTAGCTATACATAAATGTTTTCTGTCTAAATAACACAGCATGTATGGTGCGAATAATGGTCAACCACAAAACAACTGGAAACTAAAAAAAAGGGCGGGGGGATAAGCTTTAGAGAAATATACCCCCACTTAAGACACATTAGTTCAATTCTTATGTGCGATGATATGACCGTATCACCTTATCATTGTCTTTGTCTTTTAATACTGATATATGTACACCCCCCCCCCTCCTTGCCCCTGACTCTCAGCCACGAGTTGCCTTGTTAGACAATGCCGAAAGAACACACACCTCTAAGGCATTTCAATGATACCGAAACACCTTCCAATAAAATTACACTAAATTTTCGAACAGTATTTGGTAATTACCACACATTTATCGCACTGACTTAATCTGTTGTAAACAGCGAGTTAGAAAAAACAACTAATATCGATACCAGAACTCGAATAACTTGGTTAAAGCCGTATTCGAATCGCTCTCTCTCTCCCCCACCTCAAGTATAAGACAATCGTGTCTCCCCACGCACACGGGCTAAGAAAAAAGTTATAGAGCACTGGCTTTCTCACGGAAATAGTTCCATCTCCCAAACTAATCAGGTTCTTTTAACTAAAAAGCCAGAAGGGTGCTATACAATAAGGAAAGGATATTTTTTTTGCTTTAGTAGAAATTTCCAAGAAGCAGAAAAGAAAAAAGTCGATAAAAAGCATCACTGGAGAGTCTGTCTCAAAGTTAAGAAAAGGAAATATTAAAATAAAAAAATAGTTTAAAGAAGAAAAAGAATAAGTAATTATACTAAATGCTTTCAAATATTACTGCGGCCAACTCACTGTATTGATTGTTCTTCCAGTGCTCAGCAATTCTCGAAAGCGGCTATTAACTGATAATTCAACCCCTGTTGAAGATAAACAAAGAAAAGCCAATTCGTTTTTCAATAACTCAGAGGAAGAAGGAAGTACATGCAGTGCAACTTTATATTGTTATCAATACACATTTTGCGATCCGAAAGCTCACACAAGGATTTTGTGTTATGTTCTGTTGAAGCCGTCACTCGCAACGTTTCCCTGGACTTACAGCCGGAGATACGCAGAGAGTGCTGTTAGTTCATCGGTCACTGTCTATTCCTTCCGTGTAGTAGAAGAGCCAAAAGTTGAAACAATTCTTCTGGAAAGTAAAGTAAGAGATAATTGGATTCAGATCTGTTTAAAAACTGTGGTAAGTTCCATAAGAAACATTTGGACTAGCTTTATTTTCACTGCCACTTTCATATTGGCAAGGAGGATTTTTTCAAACTCTGTGAGCAGACCAGTGTCAAATTACTTCACTCTTGAGTACGCCGATCGTTGTGGTTTCTATGTAGATTCTGTCCTATTTCTGAAGAATCTGGAGATGTTTTTTTCTCACTGTGCTTGCTCCTAGTGGAGGTCGAAGATGAAAACTGGAGCTTGGCTGTACAAATCCATCAGATCCAAGAAAAAAGAGGAAACGTTAGGGGCCCACTCGCTGTCCGGGAGAGTCTGAGGAAAGACAAGGGCACGAGAATCTTTTCTTCCTTCTCTGATTTCTTTCCCAGTTCAGGATACGCCAAAAGAAGGTAAGTTATCTATGTATGTTTTTTTTGTCTTTTAGTTAAAGACTAGAACACCTACAAAATAAATTGTAATGTTATTTAGTTTGATTTTTAGTTAGTATAAAGATAACAACATTAATGCGATGGTCGCCATTTAGAGCAAGGGCAAAGCAGATAGGTGGAAAGAGAAGCACCATCACTAAGCGGTCGTAGTACTGGGAGAAAAGTAAGAAAAAGAGACAGAAGTGACAGGGGGAAGGTACAAATGCACTCGCTGACCCCCCTTTGTTTAAGATTTATACTTATTAAAACAACAACAAACTCCTTTATTATTTCATGGGTCGCATTGTTAGCCCTGAGACTATCTGTTAAAGATCTGGAGTGTGGATAGCCATGGTTCATGTCCTTAATGGGGCATTCTTGATCAAGGGGCAGCTCTGGAAGTTTTCAAAGCTGTCTGTCAACACATTCAATTCTATTCCTGATCATTTGGAGGACTTACCTCTTAAATAAACCTTACAGTGTTAAAACTGGCGCAAAACCCGTACTGTAGCACACATTTTGTGTACGGTACTCACCCAAGCGTGTATACGAATCCACCTTGACTTCTGGAATCCAACTGTATACGTTTTTCTTTTATCCTGTACTGTGAAAAGTAAGTTCACACCTCCCGCCCCGCCCCGATTTTTTTCCTATGTGATGGTGGTCTGTCTGTCTGTTCGTCCGTCAGGTCGATTACCATTTAACCGTCTGGTTGCATATTTGCTTGTCTGTGTATCTGTCCGTCCGATTGACTGTCTGTTTGTCTGTCTGTTTGCTTGTCTGTCTGTCTGTCTGTCTGTCTGTCTGCCTATCTGTCCGTCTGTCAACATATTCCATCTCTGTCCGTCTGTCTGTCTGTAGCTCTTTCTCTTTCTTTCTCTTTCTCTCTCTCTCTCTCTCTCTCTCTCTCTCTCTCTCTCTCTCTCTCTGATTTTCACCCATTCTCTTTTATTCTATCCTTCTTTTCATGCATTATGCGCCTTGTCTAATACCCTTTTCTTCTTTGCCTCTCATACTTTTATTTGTCGTTATCCCATCCCTCACTCTTTCTTACTCGCTTTCTTTATTCTCTCATTTATTTGAAACGTTTATGCATGCCTATGTTTGTATCCATTTATGTAGTGGGCCTACGTACGAGCAAAATATAAAAATACATAATATGAGTTAATGTATTTACGTGAGTGAGAGAGAGAGAGAGAGAGAGAGAGAGAGAGAGTGTGTGTGTGTGTGTGTGTGTGTGTGTGCGCGTGTGTGTGTGTGTACGTGTGTGTGTGTGTGTGTGTGTGTGTGTATCTGTGTATGTATGTATATGCGTGTGAGTTTATACGTGTGTGTGTGTTATCTGTCTACGTAAATAAATGTTTATTCCAATTAATTCCATCCTTCGAACAGCTAGTTCTCTAACTTAAACCGTAATGCTTCACGTTATCAGAGAGAATCAGTGATAAAAACAACAACAACAACAACGACAGCAACCAAAATGATATCAACAAAACAAAAACGAAGAAATAACTTCCAAAGCCGCACCCCAAATAACAGCAAACAATCACTCCACTCCCACCCCAAATAACAGCAAACAATCACTCCACTCCCACCCCAAATAACAGCAAACAATCACTCCACTCCCACCCCAAATAACAGCAAACAATCACTCCACTCCCACCTCAAATAACAGCAAACATTGAACTCACCTAATACACTTTTTCCATTCCCACCCCCACTCTTCCTTACTTTATTTCTCTCTCTCTCTGTCTCTTTCTCTGTCTCTTTCTCTCTCTCTCTGCCTCCTTCTCTCTGTCTCTCTATTTCGTTCTTTTTTTCTCTCATTTGTTTTAACCGTTTTTGCATCACTGTGTAGTTTTGAGTATTCGTGTAGCATGTACGATCAAACTACTAAAAATATTACGTATTCACGCTGTATTGATACCAAAAGCTCCCCGTACTGTACAACAATGTCATTATATCAATTTCTAGAGGCCCCAAGCTCCCCTTTACCCCCCCCCCAACCACCCCTAATCCCCACCCACCCTCGAGCCACCCTCATGTGTTCAGTGTGTTCTTGCACAGCATCGACGTTTCCAATTTTGCACTCTAGCTGTTCTCTACAAGTGCTCGCTGAGAGCAAGACAAATGTAACATTTTTATCCTAAAAGGGATCTTCAGTTTGGCACGAATCACACTCCCACTTGCCATTTGACATTTATTTTGAGGACAGAAATATACACAAAGCCAGCAAAAAGAGTGAAAGAGTTTTGACAGCCTCCAAAGTAGTGGCCGTAAGCGGAGTCCGGTTTTACTAATTTTAGTTCAGGATTTAAACAAGGGAAAACAATTCTTGCTATAACCTACACCTTGATAGAAATTCGTTCTAAAATTTACATAATTTTCAATGTGGGTGTGTAGATCTAAATTTGACTTTGCGAGCCAACTTGCTGGCTGCTGATTGCCTTTGATTGGTTAAATTAATGCGTATGGATGCACTAGCAGGCGAATAAGGTATAGAGAGTGAGAGCGAGGGGGCGAACGAACGAGATAGATAGATAGATAGATAGATAGATAGATAGATAGATAGATAGATAGATAGATAGATAGATAGATAGAGAGAGGGAGAGAGAGAGAGAGAGACAGAGAGAGAGAGAGAAAGAGAGAGACAGAGAATGGGAGATAAAGAGAGAGGGAGAAGGGGAAAGAGAGACCGAGAGAGAAAGCTAGAGAGCGAGAGAGACAGACAGAGAGAATGGGAGACAAAGAGAGAGGGAGAAGGAGAGAGAAGTTCACTGGGAGAAAGAGAGAGAGACAGAGAATGGGGGATAAAGAAATAGACAGAGAGAGACACACACACATACACATACAGAGAGAGAGAGAGAGAGAGAGAGAGAGAGAGAGAGAGAGAGAGAGAGAGAGGAAGAGAGAGAGAGAGAGAGAAAGAGAGAGAGAATGAAAGAAAGAAAGGGAGAGAGAGAGACAGAGACAGAGATAGAGAGAGAGAGAGAGAGAGAATATTACATATACATTGTATATTGCAGGGCCTAAACAGAAGGGTGACGGGGTAGATCAGGATAATAATAGCTTTTTGAGAGCATCCAAACAAAGGAGTGGACGCCACACCATGATTGCCGATGTTTGTCGTAGCTCTGGCACTTGATGCTAATAATTATGCTGCTGATGATACCATTATGTACATAGATCATTGTAGATTAAAACATTACTTAAAAGCCCATCTTCCCTCGAGTACAGATTGGGTATGTAAATTACTTTGTGGAAATAAGATACTGCCTTTGTCTGTTGGATGCCCCTCTCTATTTCACTATATTATTTTGTTTCTCGTAAATACACATTATTTTCTTTCTTTATTCATAGTTGATTTTCAAAGCTCAGTCCTAACCTTTTTCCTTGGAAATACTGTTACTGATTTTTGACATGTAATTGATTGTAATATTACTCAATATTGAATGGACAGGAATTTGGACGGGGGGGGGGGAGACACAAAGAGAGAGAGAGAGAGAGAGAGAGAGAGAGAAAGAGAGAGAGAGAGCGAGAGAGAGAGAGAGAGAGAGAGAGAGAGAGAGAGAGAGATCGAGAGATCGAGAGAGAGAGAAAGAAAGTAAGAGAGCATAAAGTAAATCCAGCGCACAATTTTATTGTGTTTTATAACCTTTCGAAAATATGAGTTTTAACGTACTCATTTTCTCTCACCTGCTCAAGAAATTCTTAGATCATTTCCCACATCTTCACATGTTCTCTACTGCTAGGTGCGGTTGCTTAAATTAACATCTAGAAGTTCGAGGTTTGAATCAGTGTTGTGTCCACTCCTAAACCATCTAATTTTTCGTTGTACTTTATTCAGAAAAAAAGTGGAGATTTATTGGAGATATTCACAGTTCGAACAATCTAAATAGGGTGAAAAAGGGGTTTAATGTCATTATGAACAGCCAATTTTATATTATCTACAACATCCAATATCTTAATGCCTTTACCATCTTGACAGACGCTTGGGAAATGTCTGAATCTCTTTCTTTACTGAACATGTGTGTCTTTGGTGTTATGTTACAGTACCTCGCCGGAACATTTTTTCATCGCTACCTGGATTCGAACCCGTGACCTTTGAATGAGAGGCGAACAACTTGACCTCTATGTCACGAGAGCCCCCTCAGTACGATTTGGAATCAATGAACGTGTGTCTTACAGGAGTACAGTGTTTCATCAACCTATGTGACTGTCTTTATTACACTTAAACAAAGGATTAAGAAGCCTGACCGTCTGGTAAACTGAACCTTCATCTGCATTGTTGTAAAAGCGTCTCGTCATAGGCGTCACCTGAACAATTCGCAAAGACTAATCTGTCTTTATCATCAAACTTACAAGAGTTTGAACCTTGTCCTTGTTGCTCTATGAAGCCGCCCACTTTCATAATAGTTGAAATCTCTGTGTACCCTGTCTTTGCTGTGAATGTTACTAATTAATATTGTTTAAGTCCTGGTGGGAGATGGAAGGTCTGAGTAATATGACTGAGAGAGGGAGAAAATGATTTGTTGATATAAGCCATGTAGACATATTTTATGTTCCAGAAGCTAGTGAAAACACTTTTTTTCTTCTAGTAATAGGATCCGCAAAGCATAATGCCGTTATCGTACAGCAGTTCATGCAAGGTGGGCCATATCGCCCCCCCCCCCCTAGTTCGTAGCACGTTGAAACACCGAGTGGATCTTTGTTGTTTCTGCCATTAACAAAGACATTGGCATCTGGTGGATATAGACGCAAAAAGAGGTTACAAGTAGTGGTAATAATAGATAGCATTTGTATAGCGCAAATTCCCGCTCAACAGCAGGCTCTATACGTTTCACAATCTATACTATTACACCAGCAGACCTGAGAGCATTCTGAAACAATCTCAACTTCCTGGGAAGCATACAGTACAAGCCGCCATTTATAGGCGCCAAAACACAAACATAATGACAAGATCTTTCACTGTCTATGGCCGG